AGTACTAGGTCTGTCCTGAAGAGAGTCAAGACCAGTACTAGGTCTGTCAAGAAAGGGAGTGATCAAGACCAATACTAGGTCGAAGGACACTACTTAGTATTAGGTTTTGCATTGATATGAAATGGAATCATTGTGCATGCCCCTTTCAAAATAGAAATATATATAAAAGAAACAATACTCCTTTGAGATGAAATTGTCTATTTACTATATGAACTCACAAGATTGTCCAGTTATAGAATAGAAGCATGATATTAATATTAGAGCACTTTTTCACAGAAATCGTCAGATGACAAGAAAGGCAATGATGATATAGTGGAACAGATTTTAATGGAGTAAGTACCAATAACTGTTCTTTGAATTTGGATGGAAAACTTTCAAATAAGCTTCTAAATCCAAGATGTTAATATTATCACTTTTCTTTATACAGACAGGATCTACGATCAGATGAACTTGGAGGTTGGTAATTTGTTTTTGTTTTATTTTCACACTCATTTTAAATCTAGGCTAAAGATGAAACATGAGTTTATTTTTACCTATTGATCATTTACATGTAGTTTCAAAATTTATCAATTCTTTTCATAGCAGGTGGAGAAACTGAGATTTCTTTACATTTTGACTTTGATGGTAAACTGTCTAGCAGGGCGAACAAGTAAGTTACAGCTAGTTGGAAAACRGTTGGTGAAGGTTTAGTTGCATGTTGCCTATTGAGCCCGAAATACACTATAGGCAATATGAATAGAGTCATTGAAAGGTCACAATGATATGAAAGTTGAACGTATACACTTTTTTGTTTCGTTTTTTTTTTTACTTCCCATTCTGTGCTGAAATTTCCATACCATCCATAATACATTTCAAGCTTGCTTTCAAGCAACATGAAACTAAAGCTTCCCAACCTTTTTTAAAGTGGTACCTGTATATTAATATTAAAAATTAAATATTATTACAATGAACCGTTTGCAGGATGCCGTCTATTATGTATTTCGCATTCTATGGAGCAGATTTGTCTCAGTTACTACTTACTTGAAGTATACACCTATTTCAAAAAACGTTGTCATCGCCAAAGGCGATAGGCGATAGTTCATTTCGACTTTGAAATGGTTTCGTTGAATACAATCAGTCTCATCACTAAGGTCTATGTTCATGACGAGAATAAGAAGCAGAATCACAAGTCATTCCAGCAATTCTTGGATCTTGGAATGACCTCAGTATCTGCTATTGCTTTTCGCCTATCTCATACATTCGTCTTTACAATGTTTTTGAATGACATGTATAATTATGAATACTGTATTATTTTTTTGTTAAATTTTGTTAATGTATTTTAATGTTTTTTAGCCCCGTTCCAGACTATGTAGACAAATATAAGACACTGTAAGCTGCTGATGGATACAAATCAATACAGGCAAGCTAGTCTGACAGAATGACTGGTACTTCAAAATAATGTCAGTACCACAACACAAGGTGTACAATTAACTTATGAGCAACCAGGTGTCTTAATTCACACTTGGGAACCTTATTCGTTAGGTAATCTTAGCAAGGTGTTTAACATTTTCTTTATTCATTCAGCTATGAAATGCGAGACAAATTGAATATCACTGTTCAATATTATAGTGATTTATTTAATTTTTGTAGCTTTGAAGATTTAATCCAGTAAAACCTGGACTCCAGTTGGGTCAGTACCCTTTTCTCTTTGGTTTCTGCCCTTTCAATCTTTTATCCTCTTTTATTGTTATCTCATTATATTATTAAAATGACCCTGACAAAAAGATATATATAACAAAGTATAACAAGTGTGATGTTCAAAATAGGATTAAACACGTATTTATTCGGCCGGTGATAAGCAGCTGGGTGACACTAATGATAAGCAAGTTTTACAGTAACGTCCTTTTTTCACGAAGGTAGCACGTAATAGCCAGTGGCTAACAAACCTGTGGCTCTTATTCCATGATCGAATTGGAATTTAGGAGTTGATTTTTGCGGAGGGAGGAAAACTGGAGAATCCGGAAAACCCTCGAAGCACAGGAGAGAACCAACAAACAACTCTACTCAACACCGAACCCGGCGCGACTACTGTACAGTGGCCCAGTGCAACTACTGTAACCGGGGCCACTAAGACAAATAGACAAGAGAAGCAATTAAAATTTAGAATGAAAACAATACATTCCAAATTTGGGTAGTAGAGCCAATCAGAAACCTAGACTGCATGAGAATTGTAATTTGACCCTGGTGTTCCKTGTAAACAACTAGATAGCGATCGTCATTTTCTCGAGGAAATAAAATGATATGTCGAAAGGCTATCGTTTTCTGCTGATTTCTGATTGGCTCCATTACCCAAAGTCGGAATGCATTGTTCTTATTCTACAATTTGATTGGTTCACGCTGTCCAAGTGCTCCCGGTCATAGTAGTTGCAATATAAAATCGAGTAAGAAAGAGTTAAATGACGGACTGCTCAAGGACGTTAGCCAAGATTATTACTTGATTTCAGTGAAAAGTTGATTTTAATAATAACACCCTATCTATATTGAATGAAATACGTTCAATAGATTTTCAACAGTCATGCAAAATGTATTTTAAATTTACTTGCTTACCATCACCCAAGTGTTGTCCCATTTCCAACCTAAAATACCCCCACCCCCGGGTTGGAAAAGATGGTAAAAATATGCGCATGGGATGTATAGAGGATATTGCATAAAATTTTTATTATATAGACACATTGACAAATAAAAACTTGTTGAAGTAGGCGGAGAGACATTGGGAAAGTCGTCATCGATATCTTCACTTGTGAAGACAACATGTAAAATATGTCAATGAAGCCCAGTTGTAGTTCATGTATGAAAAATATGAGTGGGGTATTTCCTAGTAAAACACTAATGTCTATATAATAAACATGTTTTTTACCCCATTGTTTCACTTAAAAGGTTCGAACAGCTCGACATACTGGTTTGAACAAGAATTCCAAAACCGTAACACTCAGTTTTACATTTACACGCGGACATTTGTACGAACAGTTGCAAGAAAGTACATAACTTCATACTCTTTCTTCAAACTTTTAATTTGAGTTAGCGTAACCTCTTATGTGAGACAATGAGGAAACCAAAGACATATATAATGTATCATGTGTATTTTGCCATCTTTTTGTTTTGCAGGGGGTGCAGGCAGAAGGGTGTAGGTAAATCCTTATTACCGCTTCAAATACTTCGCTATTCTCTACTTTCCCATGGCCATAATGCTAAAATACGTTCTTAAATTAAAYCTGCTTTTATCTATCTGTACAATACTGATTATCAGTTTATTCGGAGTTAATTTTACGCATACAGAACATCAAGAGGGTTTGGTGTTACAGAAAATGTATTGACTTAAGAAAGAAATATTTTTTATTTACTTAATCTTATTCAAGGTTATATCTTTTTCAGCTTTTTTCTTCTTTTATATTTGGCTATCAAACGAGATACTTCAACATTGTCTGATCAGCCTTCAGCAAAATAAATGCGGTTTTTCCTTTGGTTACCCCGCAAAGCCGCAAAGTATTATGGGTATGGGGAAGTAGAGAATATCACTTTATCATATAGCTAAGATAATACACATGATCTGATTGGTATAAATAATGAAAGAAGCACTGTTACTAACGCTGTCAAGGCGCGCGCAGCACATTTGGCAAAATTAGTGTAAAGAAGTCAGTACCAAATATTACTATGAGCATCATCCGCTATATACATATATATATAAGCCGTGTCTGAAAAAAGTTGGAGGATCGTCTCATATATTTATATATAAAATATTTGAAATATGACGCGCGCACTGTAAATCTTTTAAGAAAGCAGTATAAAACGGCTGCTTATGACTCTGCTGTGATATAGACACTCTGGGAGCTGTAGAGAACTCATCTTGCTTCCCTCGTGCTCTACAGCTCCCAGGTTGTTTATATCACAGTAGAGATACACACATGCGAGTTTTATATTTTTTATATATTTACATATATATACATACATATATATATGAGATACCGAGAAACAAAAATCCTTTTCAGATACTAAAGGGGTATATATATATATGATATGCGATGATTTTCAAAAAAAATCGGAAAAGACATATATATCGTTGCGATGGCAACACAAGTGTGAAAAARTGAAAATAATATTCAATGGAACGACTTATAGTTTCAAATAGACAAAACGTGTTATCTGTTCCATGCTGAAGAGGCCTATAAAGTATGCTCATTATCAGGATAGAAACGAGAATGGACTAATGACATCGGTTTTTACGATGACAAACAAAATAGTGCAAAAGCTTTATGCCCAAACATTAAAGGAGAAARGCTGGTTTCCTTGCTCTTACAAAAGTGAAGTATTGGAATATGCTTCTGTTACATTTTCTCTTAGTTCCATGCTAATAATAGGCATCCTGCGTGGTCTCCAAATATAGTTTTTATGCTTAAATTTATTATTAGGAAGGCAAGTCTGCTTATTTGTAATATCGTAATTTTAAGAGGAAATTGAGATGTACTCTTCAAGGGAAATCAAATATTTAGAGAGAGATAGAGGGCCGATATTGTTGACAAAAGAGAACTCGTTGCTGGATTGTGAGTAATTTCCAAGGTGAAATGATCTTTTGTCATTCATTTAACAGACACTGCCAACTATTTCTTTGGTGCCAATAGTCTTTGATATTTAATTTATCTGATTAAATGGTTTAGTACTATGTGTTATTCTAGAACCAGGGTATTTAATAAAGGATGTTTAGTTAAAAGACAAAGCTTTGCCTTACCTCTGTCTACCATCTAGTGCTATTCACTTTATCTTATGTGAAGGCATTTAACCCGTAAGATATATAATATCGCCTCGTGTAAGGGAATCCGGACTTATGGTGGATTCCGGATTCCAAGCGCTGGATTCCGGATTCCGAGACTCTGGATTACGGATTCCAAGGGTCTGGATTCCGGATTCCAAAACTTTTGTATTGCGTATTCCGGATTCCACATCGGCTCACATCGTTAATTTTCAGAGACTTTCTCTGAAAATCGTTATATTTGATATACTTGACAGTATAAGTAGAATCCTCTATCAATTAAATCAGCATCTAATGAGAGATATTCTTGGTGGAGATATTACACAGAGGGGGAGGGGCTACATCGGTTCAGCCTAGGTCGAGGCGATAGCATTTGAGTGTATACTTTGAATTTCAAAGTAGCGGATTCCGGATTCCATTATAAACTGGATTCCGGATTCCAAGGCCTGGATTCCGGATTCCAAGGCCTGGATTCCGGATTCCAGAGTGCTGGATTCCGGATTTTCTTACATGGAGCGAATAAAATGCTACTCGACACGTAATAGTCAAATAGAAACAAAAAATGACAATAGAATTAGGGTTTATTAATGTGTATTGGTCTAATATCTATTTCACGGGTTTAATGCTTTCACTCTTAACATGTGTATAGTTTTTTCTCTAAACTAATAAAGATTCGATGTGTTGAATATTGGAATTTACTACTGTCATGTAATGTAATAATTCTTTTGTCWGGACTGAATCGTTGGTTTCGAGAGGATAAAATGTAAATGCTATCTAGTTTTCCTTCTGGTTGTGCCACTGTGAATAGACATCTCATGTGATGGAAGTTGAACACAARAGCATTAACAAAGGGCATTGAGTAAAATGCATGTAGAAATGAGAAATTTGGAGCCATTTTTTTCGTATTTCTCTAACTGCTCTTTAATAAGAGAAGCTAATTAATATCTTAATCGCATTCCTTTTAAGTGCCTATAACCTTTCTGACAATATTCTCAGCATTCATTCTACATGTGGTCATCTGTTGAGTGACCCCAAAAAAAATCAGTTTCATGAGTTCGACTTCTTGTAGTTAAAAAGGTTTTTCCTAGTTTCCATGCCTGGTGTTAGTACCAATGAAAGCAAGGCCTAGAAGCTGTCATGTGTTGGTTGATGTCTTTTCTGGCAAAACTGGCTGTCAATAGAAAAACCGTCGTACCGTATATATACGCATTATTTAATCACCAATATACCTGTAATCTCGGATTCGAAGTAGACCATTGAGTCAGGTCAAGAGGCTGGTAGACAGCTATTCGAATTTACGGGCTGTTCAACTGAGAAGTAAGTTTCCTGTGAAATGTTACTGTTTTCATATATATTTTTTGTAACTGTCTTTCCCATGAGTTTCGCCGTTCTTTGGCATGATTGATCATGATCGTAAGGTCGAGTAAGCTATCGCCGCCCTATAAGGCGTTTACATATAGCAGTTTTATTCTTGTTCAGCCCTAGAACTCACGCTTAAACTGATTAACTTTTTCATTGAATTTTTTATTTTCTTTTTTTAAAAAGAATCCTCAGGTCTCAGATGAATTTGAAATGTGGTGAAATGATATAAAAATCAGGACCTACCAAATGAAAGTTCGAATTGGAAGATTCTAGTTCTATGTACTTTGAAAATGAGAACTCGTATTTAAACCTCATAACAAATATATAGTTACACTTAACAACCAATATATTTTTCTCGTTCATTTGACGCTTATTAATTTTTTACCGCCAGTTTTTTTTACAATTTTTAATCAAGCTTTCTCCCCGGCTTGACAGTCCGTCTTTAACCGGGTCGGGAGTGATTTAATGCATCAGAAGTTCGGTGAGTGGGAAAGATGAAAGACGTGACGATGAATGGTGGAATATTAAAGTTTAACTCCATGTCAAATTTAAAATATAAACACCATAAGATAATTCTACGATACACTAAATCCTTTGTTTTCGACGGAATAATTATTGAATGAAATATGTATTAGGATACGAAAAATGACGATTTGCTCGAAAAAATTTTTTTTGAAATTTCGTAACTTTAATTTTTTGTCTTTCATATGTTAGTGAAACTTCTTGCAAGTTTGCAAGAGTTTAAAAAGAAACTCATRATCCGAAAAAGGGTGTCCCCGATTTTTGAAATTTAATTTCTTTCCAAAGTTATGATGCTTTTTACTCTAAACAACACTCTAACAGCAATCGTCAAACTTTGATCAAAAATAGCGAGAGCTTTTGAGTATGTTAAGACATTTTGCGCAAACATAGCTTAAAATGTACGTGTCCGTTAACGTTTTTACTGAGGCATGGTAAATTTCGCTTCAAGGACAATAACGTGAACAACAATCTAAAAAATCGTATTTTGAAGATTTCTTCATAAACTATGTTTATTCAGCTTTCAGAAAATGTATACTTTGCTTGTGTTATACTATAAAGCAAGCGCGTTATTTCAGTTTGCGCGCATAGTGGTCGTAAACGTTTTCCTAATTTTTACTCTCAGATTTTGATCCAAAACAGCAAAAGATTTGAATTCTAACATGAGTTTCAATTCACAGCTCCAATTCCCTTCCTGCCTTGAAAAAAATAAGTTTACAATTTTTTCCCAAAAGACAAAAAATTGCCAAGAGAAACTGTGGATTAGGAGGGGCTGGGAAAAACATTAAGAAAACTAGTTTCAAGAGGAGGAGGAGACAATAAACAAATATTAACCCTCAGCCCGCCCCGGACCAGTGGGGTCGCTGTTCGTCTGATCTCTACCCTTCGACTCGCCCAATGTAAGGAAATCCGGAATCCGGAATCCACGAGATTTTAGGTTTTGGAATCCGGAATCCAGCACTCTGGAATCCGGAATCCAGGCCTTGCGATACGTTATGATGTCTGAAACTTAATGTATGCGCAATTGTTTTTTATCACGCTAGTTATATATACCAGGGACACCTCCCTAGTTATACTGACAAGTATATCAAATATAATTTTCAGAGAAAGTACCTGAAAATTAACGATATGGAATCCGGAATCCGCAATACAAATGTTTTTGAATCCGGAATCCAGACCCCTATAGAATCCGTAATTAAGAGTCTCGGAATCCGGAATCCAGCATAAGTCCGGATTCCCTTACATGAGGCGATTCGACCTGTTTTGCATGCATGGGTGACCCTAACAGGATCACATGACTCCCGCCAGCATAGCTCTAGGTGATTCCATCGCGGTCATTGGTGTTCATAATCGAGACGGCCTATGTTCCATGAGGCAGGAGGAGGATAAGTAAGGGGTAATAGTCGGGTGTTCTAACCACTCAACTATGTACCATGAGACAGGAGGAGGATAAGTAAGGGGTAATAGTCGGGTGTTCTTACCACTCAGCTATGTACCATGAGGCAGGAGGAGGATAGATAAGAGGTAATAGTCGGGTGCTCTTACCACTCTTGCAGCTATGTACCATGAGGCAGGAGGAGGATAGGTCAGAGGTAATAGTCGGGGTCTCTAACCACTCAGCTATTTGCTTGTGTATCTCAAATGCACTCCAAGCGATAGTATATATCCAAAACTTTTGATTATGTAAAATAAGCATTCGTACTTTCAAAATTTCGTGCTCCCATACGCCGTTCAGCTCTTTATTTATTCTTTTTTAATAATTTTAGGGCAGTGAATCGAGATGAACTTATTTGTAATAACACTGGCAGTGCTGACAATCAGCAAAGGCGTGGTAAGTCATCCAAAGTACGATATTACTGTTGCACCGACCAAGATTCCCACAAACTAGTTGCATCAGCTGGCGCACGCATTCAGGCTGCAATATGTCCAAAACACGAAGGTTATATGTCAAGTAGGCAAGTTGCAGCATATTACGCCTGTCTTGAGGGATCTGCATTGGCTCCCCATTCATTATCGTATTGTTTTCAAGATTTTATTACTAGTTAAACTATTAAAGATGAGAATATATGGACCGCGTAGCACTTATGAAATACATGAAGATATAGAAATATAGATAAGTTATAAGTGCATAGGAACGAGGGTATTCCGGGCGAAGGCCCTTGGAATTAAATTCGGAAAAATTAATTTCCGACCTCTCTGGGAATCGAACCCACGACCTTCGGAATTGTACTACCGATGCTCTACCAGCTGAGCTAGAGGTCAGACTGAGAGCAGGCCGGGGTAAAATAGATGTAAGGTCGCGGTAATTATGATGCAAAGATGAGAATATATGGACCGCGTAGCACTTATGAAGTACATGAAGATATAGAAATATAGATAAGTTATAGTGCATATAGTTGGTAGAACATTGGTAGTACAATTCCGAAGGTCGTGGGTTCGATTCCCAGCGAGGTCGGAAATTAATTTTTCCGAATTTAATTCCAAGGGCTTTCGCCCTCGTTCCCATGCACTATAACTTATCTATATTTCTATTACTAGTTTATAAATTACTCAATGGGACATCTCCTACCTATTTAACTAAGCATTTGCATTATCGAGCACATTCTAGATCATTACCGGTAAGTAATGAGATGTTAACACAACCAAGATCATATTCAAAGACTTATGGGGATAGAGCATTTTCAGTATGCGCGCCAAAACGCTGGAATATGCTGCCGTTAGCTATTCGTAAATCAAGTTCTGTAGGCAGCTTCAAAAAGAACCTCAAGACTTAACTTTTTACAGAATTTATAAATAGYTGTTCTTTGTTTTTTTGTTTTTTTAATATTAGGTAATTTATTACACTAGCGGGGTGGAGGCTGAATGGTGGAACTCATGGGAGTTTGTTTTGATTATCTTTTATTATCATTCTCATTCTTATTACGAGTTTTCTTATCAAGTATCATTTATATATATATATATATAGGTATAGGATTTTGTAAAT